ATCTTGATAGTGATGTGTCACCAATGAGGATTACTTCTCCGCTAGTCACCGCCGCTATTAATGGCTGCCTAGATTCTGTGAAGGAGATTCTCGTACGGACTGAAGCAAACATCGAAGCTCGTGGAACACTTACAATTGAAGGCGAAATTGTCGAGTTTTGTTCACCGTTGTTCGCCGCTGCTGCTGGAGGCCATCTTGATGTTGTAAAACTGCTGATCGAACGCGATGCAGACGTTAACGCCAGAACAAAGACGATTAAACTCTATGACTATTGCGATGATCGAACTCCTCTGATGATGGCATGTCATGGTGGCTACCTGGATGTCGCTTCTTATCTCATTGAACATGGTGCAGATATAGATCTACAAGACTCAATTCAAGACACTTGTCTTCACTATGCTGCTAGAATGGGACACGTTGAGATAGTTGACAAACTTCTTTCTGTAGGTGCGGAACAAAGACAAAATGATATTGGTGTGAGGCCACTATTCGAAAGCTGTGTTCATTGTAGAATTGAAGTGGTGGAGTATTATATCAAAAGACCGGACTGTTCAAAGGAGCAAAGAATTGATGCTCTGGAACTTCTGGGTGCCTGCATTGCTAGGGATGATGTTGCTTATGACACTGAAAAAGCATTAACTTTCATGGAACGTGGGATGGATGAGAGGTTTGTTTGAATATTTTTCCGACACACTTTTTACAGTTGATACTTTCTTTATTCCTTTCTATTACACAATTTACTGCCCTAGGAACTAGCTGACAGATCTGAGTGAAAATGCTGGTCACCAGCTAATAAAGGCGACAATCAGCAAGCTGTAAATAATTTGACCAACATCACTATTCCTCGCTTTACTGGCGAATCAAGTCAAGTTATGGGAAACAGTTCCTGCATACTAAACGTATACCTTCGATTTGTTGACTCTTTTCAAAACGACATTATAGTGTATGCCAGGATATGCAAAGATGATTATGGAATATAGCTAGGAGAGAGTACGTGAGTCGAGAAGTTTAGGATGGCGATGCCTTGTTCGGTTGTTGTAATCCGGTTCAATCCGTAGGTTGAATGCGTATATTGAGACTCTACAGACATTCTACCTAAAATTCCATACGTTTGCGGTTAAGATCGGCCAAAACTAAACGAGATTGACAATATTAAAATTCTAATGATCTTATTGACAGAATTAGAATCATATTTTAAAAGATATCCTAAGAGAAAATAGCCTTCGAAGACTGTTACTTAACGACAGAATAAACAAAATTTGGAGAAGAAAGGGCGTATCCAAGGTAGCGCCGCTAAAAGAGTTAAGTGCTGTTCGTATAAGTTACCTGATTATAAATTCAGTGCAGAAGATAAAAAGATAAATATTTAACCACAAATTGTAGTTTATTTAGAAACACCTGTCTCCACATCAAATTCACGACCACAATAAGAACAGGTGGCAGAAATTCCACCTGTAAGATAAGACCACCAAAAGGATACGAAGACCGCCAAAAGGAATAGGAAATGATCAACTTGCCTATTATAACTTTTTTACTGAATGGCTCATGGTAATAAATTATTTTCATTAATTTTCCCAACACCAATATATGGAAACCCCAACAATGTTTTCAGATTAGTTACATATCTATTTTTATATTTTAAAAGGTTTGAGGACCCTGCACATCCATTGTTAAAAGAGATGTGGATATTTAGTGAAGAGAATCAAACTCCCAAGGATCTTGTTCTGCAGTTAACTGGGAATAATGAAGCCATCAAAATGGAGGGAATGTTCATCATGGCGAGACTCCTGGGATCTATGGATTTATCTCAGTGCAAAACAAGGTACCGGAGAACTGTTTCAGCTGACCCTAAGGGCTCACGTTCCTCTCGTTGGAGAAGGTTCTTGGATAAAACCTGGAAATTTTTTGAGAGTCTCAGCTGTATGATGGTGAATGTGGATGATTTCATATACATATGTGAATTACAGCTGCAAGAAGGTGAATTTTTACCATCAGAGCACATCGGAGAGTTGTTTGAAAAAGTTGTAGCAAGAAGAGAGACAATCATAAGGGAATTGGGAACAGGGACTGAAAATGAGGAACTTGAAAAAATGCTTTATCAAGCCCTGTATCTTCTAATGTTGTACTCCAAAAGTCATGTTTCAGAACAGAATGATCATGAAACTGCAGCTATGACTGACCTTCTTCCAAGACTTTTGTGTTCAAACCCTCGTACCTGGAATGGGAATACGTTACTGCACTTGGCTGTGTGGCATGGAACTCCTTATATAGTATGTAGCTCATATGATCATGAGCACAGAATGTGCAGTTGAATGTTCAAGCCTCCCTGTCTTGAGACCATGAGGCTAATTTTACATGCAGGTTGTGATGTGAATGCCATGAACATTGGGGGAAACACTCCTCTACATTTAGCTGTTACTTTTAAGCCAGGACCAGGACAAGAAGATGTTTTAAAAGAGACACTGGACTTGTTGTTGCTATTCGGTGCAGACACAAAGCTTGAAAACAACAGTGGTCGAATGGCAATGGACTGCTGTGAGACTGACGAGGCCCAAAGGATCCTGAGTGCCATGGACATTGATGTCAGAAATGTAAGAAAATTTTAATTTTAAGTTATGATTCTTTAAAATCATCACAGTGACCAATTCATTTACTACATCATGCCTGTCTGCCTATCTACTGCTTTGATGATTTTTGAACCATCTTGATGTAGTACAATCCATTGTAATGTTGTGACAGCCTAAAGGAGCTATTTGAAGATCAGTTTGTGTTGTTGGAATGTCATTTGACTGAAAATTATCCAGGTAACTTGTTTACATGCATTTGTTATGGCACGACTAGTAACACTGATCAGGTTTCATGCTGGAGATTTACTGAAAACTGATACCTGCAAGTAGATGATATTTTCAGGTTTTGTCACGCGTGATGTAAAAGTCACCCCTTGCTTTAAATGTAGGCATGTAACACATAGTAACATAAATGAAAAAGTAATTTTCAGGATTGATTGGGTAAGGGAGCTAGGGACTATTAGACATCTCTTTTTGACAGATCACTCGTTTCCATTATGTATATACATGCTTCTCAGATCTCACATATACTGGTAGCTTTTTCACTTTCCCAATGGTGTGGTACCAATTTTGATCATTAGACTACAATTTTTTACTGGAGCTTCCATAGCGACCCTAAAATGCAACCCCTCTTGCAACCAACTAAGCGACAAAGTGAAATTATAACATAGCTAGTAAATTTGTCCAATCAAATTCAATTGTGCAAGCATGCTTCATATTCCTATTGTGCATGCTCATGACATCAGCAAGCAAATCTCTCAGGAAAAAAATTTTCCATCGGGTTGAAAATGTTATAAAACAATCGGTTCATACGTCAGCTGCACCTCGAGCAACTCTTATGCATCTTTTATGCACTCAAACTTCCTGCATGCTTCATATCTTGATGAGCACACACTGACGTATGAACAAATTGTTAATCAACGTCTGCACTATGTTTTCATGTAGCTTTGTTTTGGTCTTTTTCAGTGCCATAAAACTCATTTGAAATGTTGAAAGGCATCAAGGTGAAAAATGTTTGGACAATTCAATAATTCCCTCACCCGTTGCAACTTTTGTTTTGATATTACTTACATATTCACACTTATTATTGAACAGGATATTGTAAATTTTGGTTTGAACTGCACATGGTGTTGCATTTGTGTAATTTCTTTGTTTTTCATTCCCCCTGTTCAGTGGCTCCCCAATAAAACCGCAAGTTACCTAGACTAGTTATTCTGACCTTGCTTGAAAAATCACCTATTTATTTCACATAGAATCCCCAAAAAGCGCAAGTTAAAACTTCAATTGCATCAAGCCTTGTTTTTTAAAAAAAAATTACTAAAAAAGTTTGAAAGCTCATCAATCAAGACTCAACTCAAGACTCAAACTAGTGATGGTCAAAGTTCTGAGACAGGAAAGAAATTGATTTTAAACTGACAGTAATGGTTGCGACATTGTGCATAGCATTTCAAAAGTATTATGTGTGTAGTCTGTACAATTATACTTTTAAAATTGCTTTGGTTTCCTCTAAGTGGGTATATCTTCTCCCTTTTCACTAAGGATGAAATGCTTGCAAGCGGAAGTGGCAAAGAAATAGACGAGGGATTTCGTATAGGAAGGCAAAACGACCTAAACCAGAACTATCAAGAAGAGACTGAGAAGTTAAGATCAACAAGCTCTGGTGGTAAGCTGTAAGGGTGTCATCTTTAGGTGATTAAGCAAAGTGCAATTTATAAATGGATGGGCAGCTTCCCCATGGTACATGGGGAAAGACATAAAAGTAAATGCTGTATTTGAACTGTTGTCAGCAACGGAAAGAATGCATCAGTAGACTGTCATGAAAAAAAAAGGGAAAAATTTATCTTTAACTGGCAAAGCAATAGATTTGTAATTTCATTTATTAACATGAGGCCAGACCATGGATATAACCAGAGAGGGGGTGACAAGAAACTAAAATGATTTAAAACAACCAGTTAAAACACCAAGTAACATTGAGTACTTATTCTTGGTATCTTAAGCCTAAAAATAAAATGAATTCAGAGGGATTTTAAGAAAATAAGACAACTATGAATATTCTGTTTTTAAGATAGATTTTCTCTCGGTATAACAGTTAACCTCAGAGTGAAAACGGTTATTTTCATTTCTCTAAGAACAATTGAGGAAGTTGAGACGAAATATGAAATATGTCCAAGGGCAACTAAGAGAGAGAGGTGGAAAACTGAGGGAGATGACAAAGCAGTTGACAGATGTCAAATGGCAGTTACGAATGAGGGATGCAGAATTGAGAGGGATAAGTAAAGATGTGGAAAATGGTGCAGAGCAGGTACAAAAGAGAGATGAACAACTGACAGAGATGATACAGCAGCAAACAAATGTTGAAGGGCAGCTACAAGAGAGAGATGGACAACTGACAGAGAGGACACAGCAATTGACAAATGTTGAAGGGCAGCTACAAGAGAGAGATGAACAACTGACAGAAGTAACACAGCAATTAACAAATGTTGAAGGGCAGCTACGAGAGAGAGATGAACAAATGAGAGAAATGAAACAGCGGTTGACAAATATGGAAAGACAATTAGAAGAGAGAGATGGAGAACTGACAGAGAAGACTCAGACTTTGACAAATGTCGAAGGGCAGCTACAAGAGAAAGATGAACAACTGAGAGAGATGAGAAAGCAATTGAAAAATTTTGAAGGGCAGCCTCACAAAAACATAATTTTCTGAGGTCTAAAAATTATCATGTAACTTTATCATACACAATGTATATATATGTGTCAATAGGAAGTCTATGTTTCGGTTTTTTCCATATTACAGTGCTCAATATATAGAAGCAGAGTGTGACCTGAATCGAGTTAGGAAAAAACAAAGAGACTACGCTTCATCCTGTAGTCCAGTAAAACACTACTAGTATCTGGAAGGCACAGGTTTGAATCCAGACAAAGCCTGAATTTTTTCAGGCTTTTTTTCTATGATTTCCCCAGTTGCAGCTCACTTGCACAGATCATCTCTTTGCTTGTATTTCAGGCCAAGTTAAAGTGTGATTTATTTCATATCACTAATATCATCATAGAAATACCATTGCAGGGTTTTCATTAAGAGATGCAGAAACTTGAGAAAAGTTTATTAATAAGTAACGGGATAATTTTTTCTAGGTCTTGAAATAACAACTTAGGTCATCAAAATTTAGCCAGAGAATCCTGAGTAGAGCCAGTCAATTTTTCTGATCTACTATGCATAAAGAACACCTTCCCATTCTTCAGTGGAAGGCCTTATTGTCTTACATATATATCCTACATTTACATGACAAGGATCAAAGTAAGTGTGTTTCAGGCCAACAAGCAGTGAAGGTTCACATAGGTTCTGCCACATCCAGACACAACTCTTGCACAATTGTTTTGTTCATTTACTTGAGTCTAACAGGCTTCGCTACCCATTACTTAGGCATAGACCAAAGAGGAGGATAATTCTCAAGTTTCAAGATTTTTTCTTCAATATTTTCAAGGTAGAAATTCTACACAATAATTATGAATTGTATTAGTTTTCTTTTGTACTATTTTGCATGTGCCTTGACCAACCAGCCAATTAGATGTAAAACTAACACTAAGTGCTGCCTGGTCTCTATTGTTTAGCACATTTCAAGCAGTTTGCCAGTTTTTACTTTTAGTTCTTACTGTCAATAATGATGTCAATCTTTCTCTGATTGGCATATGTGATAACTTTGGTTTCAGTTTTTTGACTCTCAAGGGCACAACTTCTCCAAATCATCACTTATAAACAAGGGGAAGATCAATTTAGATAAGCAAGAAAATCCCACTTGCAGATTAATTCCCCATGGTTTGATAGATAAATATTTTGTCTTATCTTACCCATCATATAATCTAAAGAAGGTGTTTATAGTAACTGCTTTTTGTTAAATATAAACTCTCTTCATCAGCCAACTGGGCATAGAACATCCAACTGACAACAACTATTCTCTTGACTCCGAAATTGACTTCCACTCAGGTTGTCAAAATGTCAGTCACCACTACCAACAACAGTCCTTCTCAGGACTACACTCACCCTGACAATCAGACTACACAATCACAGCTCTCTCTTTGTTGACGAGGTAAATTGCTTTCACGAACCTCCCTACATTATGCACCATAACTTTTTAACAATGGTGCATTTGGATCAATGCAACATGCCGCAGCAACATTCCCTGGTGATGCAATTTTGTTTAGTATTCTCAAACTTGGTTATGGCTAAGAGACTCAGCATTATCCTAATAAAAAGCACAAATTTAATGCTGCATTTCATAAAATTCTTTGGGAGAGCATAATTGCATTTCAACATTGCGGATCTCATTAAACTTGGAAAAATCTACAAAGTATTTGCCATTTTCAATAAAGTCTTGACCAATGACATTCAGAAAGTCATAACCCCACAAGATTTCATCACTGGTGTATGATGTCTTGGGCTGGGTGTTCATTCCCGTATGTTCAACTATTCCATCCAAAACTACAACAATCTCATAATCTGATTCCTTAAGCTGATCAGGTGTAATCTCAAAAAAGGGACTTTTTTCATCAATGACATGAATTATCACCATAGGAAGCAAAAGAAATAACTCATTCCTGAAGTCGTTTGCAGGGTTTTGCCAGTCATAGCACACTCTAAGATCCTCCTGATAAAATGGGATTTCTTTTCCTTCAGAGGTTGTCCACTTTCGAAATAATTGCATTCTTATCGAAGCATCAACAATTTGGCTTTTGCGAATATCTCCAACCCTGAACATCAAACATAGTTTCCCATCCCTGGGTGCAATCACTGCATTCTCTGAGAACATCACAGTCTTCATGCGTTCACGAGGCTGGGATAGCTTAGCAAAAGTCAAACCAAGTAAAAAAGCGTCCAAAATCAAACCAATCAAGGATTGCATCTGTAACACGATGGCAGCCTCTGGACACTTGGTTGTAATTGCTCTGCTTCCATAACCAATGGTTTGTTCCGTTTCAATGGAAAACAGGAAAGCAGAAGACCAATCATGCACCTGGAAAAAAAACAGATCTGAATTAAATCAATGAAATATATAGTTAATTATTATTGAATGCCATCAGATTCATTTTGTGAAAATGAAAAATAAAGTAAGTGCATAGAAAAATCTGAAAAAGATATTTCTAACTGATGTTATGAAAAGGAATTTTTTTGTCCTCCTTCCAGGATTATTTCAGCTGGAAGGGTTCTTACCTGCTATCAATGATTCATTTGAGATGGTTCATCTCAATAATTTTTCAGATGTGAGCAGAAATATGAAAAATTGGCTTAATGACCTTTGAAAAAAAAAGGAGTTCCCCATACCACCCCTTTCTCAGCTTTTTATCAGTTAAAAAAGCTCCTTTTACATTTCTTCATTTTACAATTTACCTACCGACAATTGCTACCTTGAATTGCTCATACCCAGTCTAAAACGAAAACAAATCACTCAGTCACGCAGTCATTCACCATACGCATACTGTCACGCATTCACAGCACCTCCAAATTTTAGTACAAATAACCAAACGAACAGAAAACTACAGATGACTCGATTCGTAAACTTACCTCCGTGACACAAACCGAGGGTCCCCTAATTGCGATAATCAGCCACCAAAGCAGGGCAAACAACAGCCATGACAAGACGTACGAACCACAGAATATCAAAATTACCCAAGGCCAGTGAAGATCGATCACTGTAGTAAACAAATCGGCGAAGTACAACTTGGTTTTCCCCGGTACATTTCTGGCCAACACTTTGAGAGATCCATTTTTACCGACTAACCGCTTCTTTCTAGAAGAAGAACGATTGAGAAAGAGTCGAGTGTGTTCATCGAAAGTCGGCGAGGAACGTGGAGGATGAAGAGAAAATGAAGCTCTATTAGCTTGATTTTTTTGCGCTCGCATGTTCACCAGATTGGTAGAGGAGACCGGTTCTATCCTAACGAAGGGTTCAACAGTTTCGTTAGCCTCAATTGAGTCCGTTGTTTGACGAAAATTCGAATTTTCCGTCATACTTTTGCTGTCAGTGACATCGAAACAACTGAAATAGTATGACAGATTCGTGCAAAATTAATACCCAGTCTCTCAGCTGTTTATATAATGCTCTTAACACTTATCGGTGTAATCTCTCCACAGTATGCATATAGCTTTATACGAGCCATTTGCGGTTGATTAAAGAAAAACAGTTGAAAACCACAAAAACAAAAGATAATGTCCATATTGGAACTTGCTTGTAGTATGAAGACGTTTTGACGCCAGAGGAAGTCTCGAGCGGCCACCCACGGGGAATGGCAGGTTGGCCGCTTAATACAGGTTCCGCAGATAGAAGTATTCTAAGAAAGGATGAAAATTTTCATTTTATGCCATAGGTGAACTCTTTATGCAGAAAAACTCGCTTAAAACACTTACGGGAGATAAGAATGGGTTAAATTTTTACTTGAAAGATTATTCTTAGTTTTATTTCAGTGGTTCCGATTATACCCCGTAAGCTTGAGTTTGAACCGTATCAAGAACCATTGGGGCCCCTATCTTTTTATAAAATTCAGCTTTTTGTAGCTGATTTTCATCCAGTAAAACCTGGTTAACTATAAAACATGTTTTTGTTTTTGTCGTTGTTGTTGTTCCAATGTGAATGGGGTATTAACTTGTTCTTCAATCAGTGAAGACACGAGACATGAATGTTTCCCAGACAACCGCAAATTCCGCACCCGCATGTACGTTCGTCTGAAACAGAAACTCTGAAACTGAGAGGTTCCGAGAGCCTGGCACAGGGAAGGCACAGGCCACACCCGGGATATGAGCCCGCCCAGGAGCCCTTTACCCCAAATAAAGGCTCCCAGGCTGTGATCCTCCTTCGAACCGTTCCTTATTGAGAGGAACGGAGATCAGATCCGGAAACGGCGGAAATCATGAAGACTAGGTCCAGGCTAAGGAAAGCTGGACAGCAGTAGCTTCACACCCATGACCCCTGGCGAGTGTTGGCTACAAATTTTGCTCATGTCCAAGAGCAAGGTTGGCCCAATCGCAGTTTGCACTGGCGGGAAAAGCTCTTTAGTTCCCATACTTTCTCTACTAAGATAAATTTGTTTTCTTAACTGTAAATTTTAGTTAAAAAAAAAAACAGAACTTACTGATAAAGCTGATACTCCATGTTTTCAAAAAATAGTTTATTCGTTTAATTTCACTTTTGTATCAAATTCCCAATCTTCCAAATATATACGCATTTATTTTTATCGAATGCACAAGAAAATGAATCACGTAAATGAAAAAGCTTTGAAACAATGATAAAAAACGGAAAACTCTGCCCACGCACTAACCCTTAGGATAATAGGCCCTAAATTAACATGCGTATAAAAGTTCTCTATCTCGGAGGAGCGTGGTAGTGAAGCAGTGCGAGGGCAGAGTGACGAAGGAAAAAGAAATCGAGTTTTTATTCTTGTTTTCCCATCGCGGACTGTTCACTCTTGCGCTGCTCCTCTATTGCGCTCACCGAAATGAAAATACTCCTCCCCCTTGGAACGTACACCAGCCTTCTGACAAGCTAGCCTGTGTGACATTCACACATGTTTTCACCCTTGTCCTCAAAGTGTCCGTATTTAACCTTTCTCCCACTAAAATCAACTCCTCACTCAGACGACAAAAATTGTCAAGCGACGTTCCCAGATGTACAATTATTAGCTAGTGGACTAAGTCTATTGGGGATTGAAACAGAT